ATATATATATATATATATATATATATATATATTCTCTTTGGAAATTTATTTATTGTGTTTTCCTTGTTATGCCTCAGTCTGGAGTTGTGGTTTAGAGGATGCTAAACTTACTGAGAATTTTTTGAAGATGGTTTGTTTCTTCTTTCTAGCTGTTTTTTAGTGGATCTATTTTAAAGTGTCTTTAGATCAAACTATCGATTTTTTGATAAAGGATGAACATGGAAAAAAGGGGGTTATATTTGCTGATGGTATAAGCGATTGCCCGTCTACCCTTGAAGATCGTTTCAACGTTGAGCCTTCTTCTTCTGGGTCGGCGTCTTTGTTCAGATTGAAAGTATGGCGTTTGAATCATTTTTGAGAGCGCAGGTCAAAGTCTTTTTCACAGTAATCAATTTTTCGTTATAGTGTCTTGACCGGCCATGGGATCATCGAGAAGATCTTGAAGTTGACACTCAACCCTACTATACTGCATTTTGTTCTGCTCTAAAGGAGTATCAGGAAGATACTTTGGAAGATAAAGCGTAAATATTTATAGATTTTTATCTAATTATACAAACAGATCTTTACAGTTGCACTCAAGATGATTAAAGGACCGATTGGTTGTAACTGAAAAGGTATTTTCATGCTTGGTTTGTTGATCAAGTAGTAAGTGAAATCTTCAAAACCGAGCAGCAAATCAATATTTCTAAAGAGTTACATAATCTGTTTTAACTTTTTTATCAGTTTGGTTTGTGTTAGGCCAAAGGTAGGCTAAATCATGATCTTCCTCAATTTAGAGCAGAGTAATTTGCAGGAGGGAATGGTCTTCAAAAATGAATTTTTTGATGCCTGGTATCACTTGTTGTATAAGACGATATGTGGATTCCTTAACTGACGAAAGTAACTATTTTCCTTATTAATTCATTTGCTTTTTTGCTTGTCTAGTTCTGAATTTCAAAAGACATAGGAAAACGTACATTCTTTTTAGTGAAAAATGATTTTTTTCAGAGTCTGTTTTATAAAACTAAGGTTTTTCAGATGAAGTTGAAGAATTTGAGGATCGTTTGGCGGATTGGGTTGAATTTGGATTGAGCTTGGAGGTGGCAGAACGCTTTGCGTCGGGATTCTTAGAGCATATAAAAATGGGTTGTTCTTTGGCGAAACGGCTATTCCTCATGCGTCGTCGACAGTTTGCAAAAAGACTTGCAGTTAGTTTACTGTTATATGCATTTCAAAATGGGCGGAATTTCGCTGTATTGGGACAAAGAGCTAGAAACGTTTATTCTAGGCACGCCATATTTTACATCGTCTAATCGATGTCTGTACATCTCCCGAGCTTCCCCTATCACATAGATGCATTGCTGCCAAATCATTATTTGCTTCATTGTTTCACATTTCTGCTACGGTTCCTGCGTTTTTTAGTCAGGTTGAAGCTGATTTGTGTGGCCAGACATGTTATACACGGATTATGCGGTCTGTATTCGAGGTAACCCATGTGAGATCAGCCATTTTCATTTTATTAGTTCTGTTTGTGAAATTTTGCTTCAGCTTCTAGTTTATTGATGTATAGAAAGGACTTCTTTATTTTAATATCATTTTTCCAATTAAATTAGGTTCTTTTCAATTAAATCCTTACTTAATTGATGATTTTAAAGTCGTTTCTACCCTGATTTTGAGTAGCTTTCATATTGGGCTAGAAAGCTTATTATGTAAATAGACTCGCTTTTTCTTAATTACTTTTTTTTGACATTCAACTTCCTAAGTTTAGCAGTTTTTAATAAATTTGAAATTGTGTTATGTTAAGCGATCGTATATTTTTGTCGGTCTATTAGTTAGGAGGGAGTAAAGGTTGAAAACCTAAAAGAAGTTCTTTTGAGGTTTAAAAAGTGCATGAAGCGAATAATTCAAAAGTGAGGGACCGTCTAAGTTTTCTCACAAATCGTGTTCTGGTTTAATTGTTTGGTATTAATTGTATTGAGCTTCAGCAGTTTTATTCTTTGTTTTATGTAAATGTGCGCTACAATTCCTTATAATTTTTCAGTAATTTTCCATTTAAAAATAACAGGTGATAAATTGAATTTCAAATCACTTGCAGAGGACTCCAGTACGTGTTGCTGTAGCGTTACATCCTGTAATCCATCATGCGGTCTTTGCATACTCTTCTTTAAAAATTACGGAGTTGGCAAAGAAGGCTGTAACTGAAAAAGTTAGTGAAGCAGATAATAAAATCATTGCTGATAACGTCTCTCGGATTACAAACTTTATTTATATGAAAGGAAGAAGCACGGCTTACCCGAGCTGTTATATATACAGGGCTTTTTATGAGAGGTTTGTCAGTTGCTTATTTTGTAACGTTTGAAAATTCGAATTTTGGGTCATCCGTGGTAGTCGAACATTAGAACCAGTTTTTATGCTTTCTGCGCATTTGTTTAGCTTTATTAATTGGTTTATTTTAGGTTGCTACTTATTCCAATATACATATCGTTAACTGTATAGAAACTATAAAATTTTCAGTGAGATTTTGGCTTCACTGGCAGTACTCATAACTTCAGAAGGGGTTGTCAGTGAAGTTAAAGAATCATGTCTGCTAATGTTAGTCGGACTTGTATCATTTGATGGAGAAGACATTAGTGGACCTTATTTTTTGGCTTCTTGTAGTTTAGATGTCATACTTCTGTGTTTTGAGATCTTTTCGGCAATAAGTGCATCTCTGTGCAGAGAAAGGAAGGTAAATTTTCCCTACTTTTTTTTAAATCTAAAACTAATTTAAGTAGGGGTTTTTATTATGCAGAATTCGGGAATTTTTCTGAGTTTTACGCAATCATTACAATTGTTTTGAGCATAACATTAAGATTAACTTGTTTTGAGAAAGTTAACTTTCTTCTGTTTGTTACCTAATGACATGTTACTTTAATATGCATAAAATGTAGATAAGGACTCTGCCATTACTAGATTTACCTGCACTTTCGTCGGCAATCCGTGCTTTAAACTTGATAGATGAACTTGCTTCAATTAACCAGAAGTTAGTTTTCAGATACATCTTAATTTTGTAATAAAATCTTTTCATTTTTATTAACTTGTTGGAGAGAGCATTAGTTTTAGTAATCTCTTTTTGAATGCGTAATGGACTCTTTGAATGAAATTTTTGTAGTAAGCAATTCTCAACTTTTATCACTTTATTTATTTTGGACGCAACGAGGTGCTGGGCTTTCATGCATTCTTGAATTTAGGGAAGTTGGATGCATTGACAGTGCGGAGCGAACTAAAATACTGTTTAGTATTTTTGTTCTTTGTTCAAATCAGAGAAGCAATACTGCGAAAACAGCTATTTCTGCTCTTTCTCATTCTTCCAATATTGAACATATACTTGAAATTTTTGCTTTTGGTCAGCTGCCATCTTTAGAACACCAGGTGGTCGTTGTTGGTGGTTCTCTTATTCAGTGTTTATTTTAATTCCTGATTTCTTAAAACGACCATAATTTGGGATAATTTTTTGCCGCAATGCGATATTTTTCTAGATATCTGATGAAGTCAAAACTGCTCTTCGACATACTGTTTGCTATGGGTATGCTTGTGAAATATTGTTGACATTAGCACGGCTCCAAACTAATGGTGTTTTCTGGAGAAATTATGGAAGTCTTATATGTAAATTAATTGACAGTAACTTTATATCAACGTAATTTCTTAATTTTTTGAATTCAACACTATGATTTTATTTTTATTGGTGTTTCTGTATGTCATATACACTAAATAAAGGTACATATTCAGCAAATTTTTAAAATAAGAAAAGATTTAATTTTTTCTTGGCTTTTTCAGTTTACTGTAGCAGTGTTTTGTTCGCCTGAGTTTCCATTTTTTAGTGCGTCGTCTTTGAAACAGTGGACCGAACCACTGCGTGATCCTATGGCACAAGGCAGCAATCCCAGCGCAGTTCACTATTTGGTACAGAAGTAAGTTTGATGAATTTTTTGTTATTTACCAGTTACCCATTTATTTTGTTTATTCGGTCTTTTAAATTGAAAATTCAGTACGTATGTATTGTTCTCATTATTTTTTCCACTTATATATAAATTATTCTAATAATTTACAGATACTGTAAGAAATTCAATTAATACTTAGTGCTTCACCACTAGAAACTGTAGATATATTTTTATCAGGTTGGGTATTTATCTTGAAAAGTTCGAAAATGGTAACGACCCACCGTTATCAGCCATTACCACTCTCCGTCTTATTGATGGTATATTAAAAGAAAAAGATACTGATGATGGTATAAATAATTCTTGAATTTTCCGGTGTTTTAATTTTTTTCCTTAATACCAGATTTTGTGGTTTTTTAGACTTTGAACTCTGTGATGGAGAGTGCAGTCGATTTGAGTTGTTCTCAGTTTTTTATTCTGAAAACGGTCTGGAGAAAATCAATAGGTTCTTGATGGTGGGTAATATGTAATGCACTTCGTCTGGCTTTACAATTAGTTATTTGCATGGTTAAGAATCTCAAGATGGAGAAGGTCTGTGTGAGTAGTATAAAAGCAGTTCTTCTAGTGTGCTGCTGAGAAATACAGAGCTGGAAGACACGAAAAAGGGTTGTTTTTAGCTTCGGACGCTCTAATTTTGGAAACGTTGTTTTTCTCAGTTCTCGATATCCTTGAAGTAATAACAAAGTCAATGATTTGTACTGGAACGGTAACAATTTTATTGTTTTCGTTCATCCTTTTATCATTTGTTGTGGAGAATACTACTACGCTTTTTGAGCTTTGATTATTAATTAAAAATAAGAATGCTAGTCAAAATTCTTCAATCAGCTTTTTTCTGTTGTCCATTATTGCCTTGATTTATATTACAGTTATTGTCTTCTATTTAAATGGAACCTAAAATATAATTTAGTACGTCGATTTTACATCTATGCTTCCTCTGCTCAAAGTTTACTCATCCTTCTATTCCGATAATTCAAAACAGTGCCGGGTTATAAAAGCAAAAATTTTGGACATATTCTCCGCGCTCACTTCGGCTCACTTGATAGCCGTAAGGAAAATTCAGGTATTAATAGTTTTACATTTAAGTTAGAACCTCCTAGGTTCAATAGGTGTTCAGGCCAAACGATTTTCAAAATATCTTTAATAAATTTCAAGTTATTACCGAAAATTCTGCATGAAAATCTTGAAGCATTTTTGTTCTTTATTGATTGCATTTGTTTTAAGAACAGTAATATGTATTGGTCAGGATTCTTTTTTTTGCGATTTTTTGCGATTTGTAAATACAAAGAAAACTCCAACTGGTTTTTTTTTTTCGTATCGCGGGGCACACTGTACAACCGCTGTGATTTTAGAGTAGACGACCAATTGCCTTTTTTCGACAGTTCTTTGAAATTAGTGTACTTCCATCTACTATCGCCGCATCAAGTGAAATTTTAAGTAATTTACTGATTTTGCACATCCCCGAAAGTCGTGGTTCACTTCCATCAGAGAGTAGTGAAACTTCAGTAAGGAAACAATGGAGTAAAGTCTTATTGCAATTCCCACGCCATTTGAAATTTATGATAATGGTAATCATTTTTCACTTGCGATTATTAGTGAAGAAGATCTCAAGCTTCAAGCTCATCTTTTGGCTATGAAAGCAGCTACATGTGATAATTCATACTTTTCTACAAGTTGATATTCCTTCACTTTTAGTCCGGAGTAAGTTCATCAAAGGCTTTGCATGATTCGATAACTACACTCTGTATCCGTTTAGTATCCTTAGGACCCGTTACAGCTGATTTCATTACCAGGTAATTTTTGTGAGTTTATTGCTGTTTGTCTCAACCCATTATTTCCAACTATTTGACCTCTTTAAGAGTTGCTTTTTATAGAGAAGTAGAGCATTTTTGTTGGAGATCTTTGTTGGCACTACCTATTTTCTCCTCTGACACTTTCTTGGATGAGGAGGTTTCTGATGGTGAAGTAGAAGAAACAAGCCATCCTGGTGAAATACGTTTTGGTACCGCGGCAGATTTTACAACCGCAGCATGCTTTGAATTTTTAACAGATTGTTGCCGTGATAATTTTTTTTGCCGTGTCTTTATATCGTACATTACGAAGGAAGCATCTTTCGTGACTGGGATATTGAAATTTTTTGGGGTGGCCAGCCAGAAAACGATTCCGCATGTTTGTTTTCAAAAAGAGGTTATTGTAAGTGTTTTATATTTCTCTTATACTTTCAAAGGCTTTAGATGTTTGTAAACATGAGACATGGTTCTTACAAATTTTAGTTACTCTCTTAATGAAAAATTGCTTTTCCTTTGACAGTTTCTCCTCTTCGTCAGTTTGGATTTTAATTCTGTTATTATTTCCCGGAATAGCTGATGATTTTTATTTCTTAATGTTTTAATTTGTTATCTTATGTATTGTGGCTTAGGCGTTATTTAAAAAACTCTGCCTAACTGCTGATTTACATAATGGCCAGTGGAGTTTATCCTTACCTAAAAATTTCTATAACTGCTTCTGTGACGCACTTGTGGAACATATATCAAAGGAACAGAGTTTTGAAACTGCTATTTTAGCATTAGATGCTTTACACTCAATTGGAAGTTATTCGGAAATCGGACAGAAAATAGTAAGCTTTCTTTCAGCAAAATTTGTTCTCTTCAAGAAACAGTTACTACTGAAATAATTTGAAGTTTTTGAATTACCATTACTTTTTACTTTATACCAATGACTGAATTTAGTCAAGAATTTGATTCAAAATAAGACGCTGTTTTCAATTTAAGGTGCAAAATGCATTCGTCGCACGGTCTGATTCGTTAATGCGGCTTATGTGCCGGATCGAAGCTGCAGTTAAAAGTTATCCTTCAGAAGTCTTATTAGCGATATTTCATCTCTTGTCGTCTACGTTACAAAATGTGTTTGTACTCGTGCGTACTTTGCTCTTAGTCATCTTTTTTCCTTAGGGGGAGTGCCAGCAATCTTGTTAAAGTTTCAGGACAGTGTTTTGCTTAAAGTCCTCAGTTGGGCACCCACGAACGTTACTGAGGAAGAATGTACATTTGATGAGCACCCGTTGGGGCGCTTGTGTAGAATTTTAAGCGAAGACACGGAATTTCGCGAGGAACGGGACACTTTAGCAGTCTTTGAGAGGCTGCTGAAATTTTATAAGAAACATAGTGGGTGTAAGTTTGACGGTAAGCAGAGTTGGTTGATTTATGGTTGCATTCTTCAAATTTTTTTTTCCATTGTATTCAACTATTCAATAGTACCTCGAGCTGAAATTACAATGGGATTTTATTAGGCAAAAGAGTTATGTTTTCAAATGTGCCGATGCCTTGTCAAAGTCTGAGTATTGCCTTCTTTTTAGTTGAAGATGTAGTTGTCAAAGACTGGGATTATTTCACTGAACTGGACGATCTTTTTAACCGGACTTCAAAAGCGGATGGAATAGAACTAAATTACGATAAACAGTTAGACTTATTCATATTGATTTTTCCTCACTCTGTAATTTCTCGCTGTCATGGCTTTATTTTTTACTCTTTCAAAGATAACACCATTGAATATGGTGCAAGTGTCCAATGCGAAATCCTATGAGAAGGACGTCTTTAAATTTTTTTCTTTCTGTTAAAAATGCTTGGAGCCAAGTACAATGTACCGCTTTCTAGAGCAACAGTCAAGAAGTAGTGAATTTCTTTTCCTAAAAAGATATTTATGGGCCTTCTTGTAAAACATTTTTTTTCTAGGAATATAAATTTTTTTTTCCATAAAAGATTACAACTACCACTAATGGAATTGGATTTAACTGCTCTGAAGTCTGAGTTCCTTCAACCGACACTTAATAAAAGTTCGAAGCAAAGGTACCTTAACATTTTTTTGAATTGTTTCCTTAGATTGCATTGAAAACAAAATACTCATTCCCTTGGTCTTGTTAGGAATGTTGTTGAGTAGTCTGATGTATTGGAAAATAATTGTGGCTATCTGTTTTTGGCAGTGTTCTGCTTGGTCAAGTTTATTTCAAAAGTTTAATTGTGGTAAAGATGTCTCCTTTTCTATTACAAATGGACATTCTGCAGCTTTTTGGGTCTTTTGATTCTACGGCTTTTATCCTTTAGGAATCATTTGGACACCCAGACAAGGTTGAGTGGAAGAATTTCTCAGGTAAACTATACTATTGGAAAGTGTATCATAAACTATATATCATTCTTTTTTCCACAGGAAATTTGTAGTTAGGAAGTCTCTTATCATAGAGCTGGATTTTTCGAGAAGATGGAAGTTATTTTTAGAAGAAACGGCCGAAACTTAGCGATTTTGGTGAGACCAGCAGTGTCCGTGTACAGCCAAAATAAACAAGAATTTGGATAGTTTTTTTTTTAACCAGAAGAGTAGGTGAACTTCTCTAACATAAATTTTGACTCTCAAAAGTTTTGTTCACTTACTACGTTCCGGTTCTCACCCAATATATTGATTAATTTTAAAGTTATTTTTTTACTTAACTATTACCCACTTCAAACTCAATTTTTAAAGGATTAGAATAAACGCCACAAAACAAAGACGGGAAAAATCTAGATTGGTTGACTCGTTGGTTTCGAATGTTTAACTGCAGAAACTTGAAGGTGCAGTAATTACTTTTATACTGTCAAAGCAACAATTGGTTCCACAAATGAAGACACCAGAATTAAGGAAAGCATGGAGTTGCCTAGCAAAATTTGTATAACCTTATTTTCTTGGTAGTATGTCGATGTGTCCGTAGTCAAACCGTTCATATCTGTTTCTTTCAATTTGTAGAGTACTCGTAAATTTAAACTTGATTTTACCACTTCGTCTTATTTCATAATTTACTGGTTTTTGCAATTAGTTGTAACTTGGAATATTCACGAAGATTGACAGGTTTTTGTTTCGCAAATAGTGATAATTCGTATGAGGTGCCGACGGTACCCTGATGGTGCATATCAGGAAACTTTCGGAGAGGTTCCTGCTGCAAATACAACTTTTCTCTCTTTTTCCTTCTTTACTTACAAATGGCGCCAAAACATTCAATCTGTTTTGAGGAATATCTCGCTGTGAATTGATCAGTTTGCCATCCACGTAAATAAAACGGCAGCTGAAACAAATGATTTATTTAGGGTTTGAACAGATTTTTTGACAAAAATGCCACTGTGCTTGAGAAGCTATTTCTTATTTTCTTCTAGGACAAGCGGCGGTGCGGGTTTAGCTGTTTCGTGCGGAAATAACAAGAAAAGGGGATGTTCAGTTCCAAAATAGGAGGATTTAATCGAACGTGTGGGGTGTGGACAGTCCTCCTAATTTTTAAATTCTGGTGTTACTGCAATTTTGAAACGACGAGACTTTCGTAATTTCCGACTTTCAGACAGTTATGCAATTGTTGTTTAAATGCAGTCTGAGCATTTTATTAGACAAACACACGCAGGCAACAGTTCATCTTCGCGATCATTTCTGGCTGTCTCAAGCATGATTCCGTTACAATATATTCCGTTTTACGTCACAGAATCTGATTCTTATAAAAAGAAATCGGACGCATAAAGGATAATTTACTTTTTTGGTGGAACTGTTTTGCAGTACAAAAACAAAAAGAATTTCTGCAACTTATTCTTTTATAAGGCCGACTTTAGTGTTGCTGCAGAATGGCATTTTTTGCTACTGCACATGAAGAGCCTATACATCGGTAGTGGAAAAATTTTTAAAACGTCGGCTGTTTGAGCCAGTCTTTAGAAGCTCTTTTTTTTGACTAAAGTTTGACAATTTTGGATCTCTGTGGCGGAGCACAACGAAACCTGTGGAACACTGACGTAGTACATTCCTCGGTAGCAGACTGCGAAAAGGAGCGAATGTTACTACTGCCACGGTATGGAGGAACTCAACAAATTCATGGTGTTATTTCACCAACAGCAGGAAATCTCTGTCAGACACTATTCCTCAACTGTTGCGGATGGACACAAAATTTACAAAGCAGAAGATATTTCAGTGGATACGATTCGCTACAGGTTTGTAAAGTAACAACTTGTAAATATTTTTATATAAAAGATAGCTTTTCAAACCAAATCCTAGAAGAATAAAACATTCTCATGTTTTAATTATCGCTATCAGGAGCTTTCAGAAACAGTAGATGACAGTGGCGCCACAGTAAAATATATGGGGTTACTGTAAAGAGAGCGGACTATTCCCTGTCTCACGTTCTCTCTCGACTTGTAACACTCGATAACAGAAAACCGCCATCACCAAAATTTGACATGTTGTAAAGCAAGTAATTCTAAATAGGTTTTCTACGGTAATCCCGCACATTTTATTAATGCGAAACCGTCTTCAGCTGCATCTGGAAGGCAGAAAAGTGGCCAGAAAACCCTGATTGTTTTAACCTTCGCAGGTTTATTGAGGAAAATGTGTTTCACTTTTAAACCGTAAGTGTTAGTCAATATACACAGTTGCAAGAAGGAGCGTTTATTCCAGCCTTTTCTGCCTTTCACCGTTTTGCCAAGCTTACGGATCAAGTACGTATCTTGGCGCCATGAGCAAGTCTTAGAACCTGCTGCTTTACCCAGTTGACTGCTCCGTTCAGATTTTTCCTAAAAGTGCTATCGCCTTGCGTTTTAGAGGATTGCAACACACAATGTTAGAAAAAAAACGATTAGTTGGGCTCATATTTGCTTACATATCTAGAATTCTGACGAGTAGCGTAAAAATATATTCATAGAGGCTTAGTGGTCTTTCTCGCAAATACAAGTGAAAAAGCTTACAACTCTCTTTCTCTGCTGACCTTTCAAAAACTGATATAAGTTTCTCCAGTTACATGTACTCTTTGCCTGCACAATTGGCTATAGTACAGACTTTGTGTTACATAAAACATTACTGGCACCTGTGTTTGTAAGCTAAATTCCCCTCACCGTCTTCATTTGAGTGCAGCATGCAAAAAGCAGAAAGGACGGGGATGAACGCTCCCTCTAACAACTGTATAAATTAATAAATAGTTCACGTTTTGAAGTAAAATACAATTTCCTTACTAAATCTTCAACGACTGAAACATATCAAGGTCTTCTCGCCACTTGCCGTAGCTTTCAAGAGAAGCTGAGGAAAGTTTCCGTACCGTAAAATGCGTGAAATTACTCTGGAAAGGACGCATTTTTTTTAGTCCCAGTCTTTTCCGGTTGTAACTCCTGAATCTGGAAAATCGCCATTACCAATCTGTGATGCAATTACAGAGCGAAAAATTTTGGGAAACTATATTATTTTAAACAATTTTAAACACACCTTCTTTTTAATATTTATCTGAAATCTAGTTTTCTTTACATCTATAAGATACTTAGCAGATTTAAATTATTCAGTATGTTTTTAAAAGAGCAGGGCATAACAAATCTAAGCTGAAAATCTCCAGATTCTATTGAAATTTAGCTGAATTACAAGTCTCCTGAGACAGGTATATTAAGCAGAGAATCTGGTAAGTTTTGCACCATTTGGAATAACTTGGCGGGGAATTCAGCCTTCCAGTTCCCCTTCTCGGCTTTCTGTTTACCAACGTAGTCTACTACAATTAGCTAGATTTTAAGAAATTTTAAAATGTCAAGTGGAAAAAGTGTGCGAGTGGGCAATGAATAACCCATATATAGTCCGTTTCATATTCAATTTGGTGCAAAAACTTTTTTGGCAGGATGAGAGCTACAGTAGTCAGATCGGCTGGCAACTCATTAAAAGTCATGACCTACGTTCACAATAAG